GGCTGGGAGGCGTGTGTGTGCGCATGCTGCGAGGGACAGTGCGACCAGCATGCGTGGCTCGCTAGCAGCACGCATGCTGGGTGTGCTAGCAATGAGGCGCGAAGAGTGTGCGTGTGTGCGTGGGGCTGCTGGGTCCAGTGCCAGCACTAGGTGCTAGCAGCGCCCAGCGCCAGCACAGCCCAGCAACAGCGTGCACTGGCTGGCTGGCTGGGTGCTGGGCAGCAAGGCACGCTAGCTGGCAGCCCCAGCTGGCACACCTTGACCCGGATTTGGGCATGGTGTGTGGGGACCAATGTATGGCCTTGGGGATCAAGGCAATGGTCCCCCCAAGCCTTGGTCCTCACTTGGCTTTCTCTATAATTGAGCCAAGTGTCGATTTGTGATTGAGTTGATTAATTATTTAATTTTGGAAATTAAATAATTGTCATTTTACCAACTCTCCCACATTGATGGGAGATTGGAAATCAAGGGATCATTTCCCTATAAATACCAAACTTGGTATTGGGATTTGAGACAACCTTGAGTGGAATTAAAAAGGCAACTCTAAGAAAAGAGTAAACCTTTGATTCGTAAAACTCATATTTATTTTTGGCTGGGTCTTGACTAACCTTCAAGACTTAGGACGCTCGTGTCGGGTCGAGGGTACGATCCGTCGGAGATCTCGTCTTTTCGGGATTTTGAAGTAAGAGCTCTTTGGGAGCGAAGCACGCGTCAAAGGTATAATTCTTGTCCTTAATCTTGTTTGATTAAGTTTATTATGCTTGTTTAATTGCTTTAATTAAGGGGCGGGTCTTGGTGGGTTTCCTTCCGCGTAGTGTCGGGTCACTACGAAACCCTACACTAGGTTTCGAGAGAGTGACTATGAGTTAACCTTGGGGGTTACTCAATCACCGTCACTCCAGTTTGAGTAGTAGAGGTACCAGGCGGCGTAGGCCAGTTGGCCCCCTTGATTCGGCAAGTTTTTCTTGGCTATTAACTCAAAAGGTACCGCCTGCATTTATCCCAAGTAATAACAGGCGATCATCTGACTCAGATGTGAACTGGCAACCACTGGTTCGGTTAGTGGTAGAGTTATCTTTGTCTCGAGGATAAACGGCTACGTGGTTGTCCTTGGGGACAGTCGTTAGGGGCCGTTTGTTTGATTTATAGAGCATTATTCCACCCAAAAGGGAGCTGCTCTCTACGACGAATCTCATCCGGAGGGATGTCGCCGGATGCCTGTTGTGATGTTGGGACAGGTCGTATTAGTTTAATTTTTAGGTAAGATAAGTCGGCCTGGCGCCTAGGCTGATCATCTGGCCCTTGGCCTTGCTTAGTTTTTGGTGAACGTTGGTGTTAGGTTGTCCTAGACTTAAGTAAAAGGAGGGTAGCCGCCTGTTTAGGCATAGGGACAGCCGGGCCCTCTGATCATTTTGTAATAAAGTATAGGAGGGTGGCCGTCTGTTTTGGATTCAGTCGGCCATCTTCTATGGAGAGTAGCCGACTGTATGTCCAGCCGGCATGCCCCTCTGTTGATTCACAATGGGGTAGCCGCCTGTAATTGTACAGGAGGTATGCCCCTCTAATGATAGAGTAAAGTGCACAATAGAGAGTAGCTGACTGTAAGGTACAGGCGGCATGCCCCCTTTGAATCAGTATCAAGTAATGAAATAATTACAAGTGTTAGAGCAGATGGATAGGTTAGTTCCCTTCCATGGAGGATGGATGACATTGGGACGCCTCCTTCTTGTGCGGTTTTTGACCTTGCTGTCTATTTCCATCCAGCCCCACACTTTGTGGTCAGTGCTCAAGCTACTAACACTCGACCAACCAGATCAGGGTGCTTCTTTTACCCTAACAATGATGTTGATGATTGAAGATCTTGTTGGATGCTCAAGCTACCCAGGCGAAGCTAACCAGGCGATGCTTTCCCATGGCGCTTGCTCTTCTTTGTTTTTCAAATTGAGTAGCACATGCGCTACGCATCCAGACATCTCAGAGTTCGGCCAACACATTTGCCCTCGGTCTTTAGCCCCTTGGTGAAATTGCTGGCTCAGGAGTTGGTTTTGTTCAGCTTTTCACAGCACAGCCGGTCTCATTGGCTCGACCTGGAGAGTTATACATGTAATGATGCCGGCTGCTTGGTTATTAGCGGACCGAACGCTTTGTGCTTCCCCCATGCCAGCTTGCTATTGTACTCTTGGCAAGATTGGCTTGATTGTGTGGGGCATAATGGAGAGTCGGTGCTTTTCAAACTAAGCCAATTATGCTACCAATCACAAAGGTGAACAAGACATGCCGTCTGCTGCCAAATGCTTCGACCATCCGGACTTATGTCGATTGTGTCTTTGTTGCTGGTCACTATTTATTGCCGGCTGCTTAGAGATGGCAGGCCGGATGCTATGTGGCTGGGTTGGGGCCGGCTGCCGCATATCTGGATGCTTGGTGGCTGCTGCCGCCTACTAGCTTGGAGGAAGGATGCCTAGGTGCCGGCCGTCCACTTAGCGCTCTTGCCAATTATATATTAGCAGCTATTATATATTGAAGGCTGCATGTTCTAAAAATTTACAAACTTCTCAAGACCAGGCGTCCATACCATGTTGTGTATCCAGCCATGTGTATAAGCTAGTGGCCGCCTGCTCATACTCAGCCTCATACTCACAATCGGTTTTGCTAGCTTGCATTATAAATATTATTGCTATTATTTTATATAATAATTTTTTAATTAGAAATTATTATATACTATCATGCATTACAAAACCATGATAAAGATAGCTTTATCTTTGCATGATTGATTAAGGTGTCCGAGTGGTTTCTTGCTCTTGCTCGGTATCCAACAATTAATGATGGATAAGCAACGAGGGCCACCTACTTTGAACCTCACAAACGACTTCTTCAAAATAAGGCGTCAATAACCATCTCGCGTAGCCGGCCATGCGTAACATGAGCACTCACATTGCGTGTATACGCTACTGGCCGGATGTTTAGTGTTTAGGGTAAAATTACCCATGAAAAATGGACCAATCCGGACCTGCCACGTGTCCACCACGTGGGCCAATCAGCGTCCGCCACTTGTCACCCTAAGAGGTCCAACATGGACTAATCAGGCCAAGCCATGTGGCCCATTATCCGCCAACCTGGAAAACGGCCATCACAGGCCCAATTCCCGAGGCAAGCCCAATCAGTCCTAGGTTTTCCTAGAAAACCTAGTATTAGGCACGTACTTCGAGGCTATATAAACAGGTCATTAGCCTCCATTAAAGAACAAAATTACTCTCACCTAGAGAAGTAAAAACACCTTAATCACTCCTCACTTTGAGGAACCAGATCACCCTTTACTTTCCGCACCTTTTTTACTCCACATACAAGTACTAACTTGATCGTCGGAGGCGGAGCTCCCACTACCCGGAGTCTCCGTTGTTTTGCAAGTACAGGCGCAAGGATACCAGTCCCGGAGTTGTAACGCTCCCGCAGGACATTAAAAAAACCCCGAAATATTTTGGCGCCGTTTGTGGGGAGAGTACTTTCGAGATGGCATCACAGTCTTTACCGATTTTAAGCGACAAGCGTCCCATGGACGACCCTCAGGTCTACGCTGACCAGGATACTGATAATGAGGTCGAGGTGGAGACGCATACGGCCTTAGACGGGACCCTAAGGGCCCGACGTACCCGTCCCACCGAAAGGAGGGAACGGGAGGACTGCCAGGATGGTCCTAATAAACCAACTGGCCCACCGCCTGAACATCAACAGGCGGCCGAGGGATCTGCCCCCATTACTAGGAACGAACTCATGACCCTCATGAGTAGTTTCAAGGGGGAGATCCAAGACTTAATCAATAAAAGGGCGCCTGTTCCACCAAAGGAACAGTCGGCCAGAAGACCCTGCCATCCTGGGAGGACGAAGCCTGTCAAGGAGTTGGTGTCAAGCATATATGTTATTGTTGCCAAATCATTATTATGAAAAAAAAGCGCTTAAGGTAGGCGCCTAACTTAGTGATTCTATGTAAGCAAAGCTCCACTAAAAGCCTTAGGTGGCAATCCACTACACAATTAAAAGCTTCTCCTTCTGTACATTAGAGAGAGGTGTCAAAGACGTGAGGCCCTTGGGATTTGACGCTCGCTTACATGAGTATAGCAAGCCCACAATCAAGCTAACCTTTGAATTTAAGAGGCGGCTTACGCAACAAATGTTAGCTAAGCTCAAGTCCTCGTATCCATGAAAACCACTCGGCACTTTCACCTCCAAGAGCGTAGCTACCAAGCGGCCTCTTGACTCAATGCGCAGCCGACACTCTACAAGAGGTACATACGACCATCTTAACGCATTTGGTTGTGTAGCCAGCAAGCTCTAACAAAGCTGCGTATGAAAGAACGATAGGCGACCAAGTACTACTGGCGTCAAACGGCCAGATGCTAGGAATCGGATGGTCAAGCTTGTAGGCTATTATTATTATCAAATCATTATTATGATTATGATTTATAAAAAAAAAAAAAAAAAAACGTCATCATCAATTGCCAAGTATTTGCTTTGCTTATGAGAGCACTTACAATGGTGAGCAAAATATTTGCCCATGAGCATATTTTGTGAGCAAATAAAATGCTCATCATCCACAATGGTGAGCAAATCCAAAAAACCGATAAAAAGCCCATGGGCAAATGTAAAAATGCCCATAGCTTGGGCATTTTTGGTGATGAATAGTGTTAGAAGTGGGCCCCACATGTTGCTGAATTGTTTAAAAAATGTTGGCTGCCAGCACTTCAAAACGACGCGTTTTGGGCTAGCAGCCTTAATGGCTCGCCTCAAAACGCGTCGTTTTGAGCTCCAGAATTAAAAAAAAAAAAAAAAAAAAAAAAAAAAAAAAAAAAAAAAAAAAAACTAGTGCACTGTAGCGCGTCAGGGCTTGTAGCGAATGGGAGTGCGACACGTGTTCTGTTGCAGGCTGTTGGCCAATGAAAAAAATAGCCGTTTTACAACGGTTATAATCCTTCTATAGCATTTTCCGAAAAATATATTTATTAAAAAAAAAAAAAAAAATTACCAACGGTCATAAAATTAAATTCTCTATAAATAGACATGCATTTTGATATGTTTTGATATAATTTCGTAATCACCTAAAATCCTCCACTTTTTTATTTTCTTAAGCATTTTAAATTTGTAGAAGAATATATTTGTTGCAAAACATCCATATTGAGGTAAATTTATTTTTTTTAAATATTTAAATTTTTTTTTAAATATTGGTTATTTTTTTAAAAAAATATATACATGTAGTTATGTATTAAAATTAGTATATATGTGATTTTTGGGAAAAAAAAAATATTGTATGGCATGTTATGTAATTGCTTTATGTAATTGAAGAAAGTTGTTGATAATTTCTCCTTTACATTACTAAATTTGTAGTAAATATAGTGTTGCAATTATTGGTTAATTTTATTTTAAATATATACATGTAGTTATGTATTAAAATTAGTATATGTGTGTTTTTTTTTAAAAAAAAATATTGTAGGCCATGTACTTTAATTGAAGAAAGTTGTTGATGTTTTCTCCATACATTACTAAATTTGTAGTTAATAAAGTCTTGAAATTATTGGTTAATTTGTTTTTTTAATATTAAAATTTAGTTATGACTTTAAATTAGTATATATGTGAATTGGTTAATAAAGTTGTTGATATTTTTTTGGATTTGTTGTCATTTTAATTTGTTTTTTGAGTAAATCTTAGTAAAAATATTTATCTTTTGTTTTGTGATGCAGAATCTTTTAATGGATCCAAACAACCCAAATTTCCGTCAACAATTTTCTGGTTTTAGTGATGATTTCCTAACTAATCCCGAGTTTCAATTGTTCTTGCAAAGAATGGGCAATACGTCTTTGCAACCACCTCCACAGTATCAGACACCTACTCAGTTTCCCCTACGAAACCATGTTAATGAAGAATGTACACCTGAAATTGAACATGATAGCAACACACAATTCGATGAGAGCGAAGAAGACAACGTACCAGAGACGCCGCAATATCCTCCACCAGTTCCCGAACTGAAATCCAACCAGGTTGTTGCACGAGCGACTCAAATTTGGTCAGTTGCGGAAGATGAAACTCTGATTGGGTTGTACTTGGAGATCAGCGAGAATGCTATTAAAGGCACGAGCCAGAAAGCAACTTCCCTTTGGCGCGATGTACACGCAGCATATCAACTTGCTCATGCGGAGAAGCCGCATATACTTCCACCAAGACCTATGAAGAGTCTGACGTCGCACTGGAGAAGGTTGGCAGCAGACACACTACAGTGGATATCTTGCTATGATGAAGCAGGTAGACTTCCGGAGGGAGGGAGTGGTTACAACGAAGCTGACCGTATAAAAAGTGCGTCGAAGCTTTTCCATCTCGCCCAAGGTCGTAATTTCGCTTTTCCTCACGCTGTTGAAATGCTTAATAGAGATCCAAAGTGGAGGCCAAAGCTGAGATGGTCCTTGTCAAAGGAGGAAAGAAAAGCTGTTCGTGATGTTGAGGAGCAAGGTAGTGCTGGAAGTGGGAAGAGGTCCAGAGATGATGGAGGGGATGAAACCCCTACGGATGGTTTTTCATCTGGAGGAATACAACGACCCGAAGGTGTGAAGAAAGCAAAGGCCAAGCGTAAAGGGAAAGAAGTAGCTTCGGACAGTGGTTCGTCTGAGCTTAGCGAACGAATGAAGGAATTGGCAACGACCCAATTTAGAAGAAGATTTCGTATGCAACGACCTTTGTTTTTACGTATAATGAACAAGGTCGTTGAAGGTGATGTTTACTTCCAGCAGCGTAGGGATGCAACTGGAAAGTTAGGCATATCACCTCTGCAAAAATGTACAGCCGCGATACGAATGTTAGCCTATGGCATGGCTGCAGACGCTGTTGATGAATACGTTCGAATCAGTCAGTCAACCGCTCGAGTTGCCCTACAACGTTTTTGTGCCGGGGTCATTGACCAGTTCGGAACCGAGTACATGCGAAACCCTACAACTGATGAATTGGCCCGGATACTGCATCAAAATGAACTGCGTGGTTTTCCAGGCATGATAGGCAGCATTGATTGCATGCATTGGGAATGGAAGAACTGTCCAACGGCTTGGAAAGCGCAGTACGCCGGTAGGAACAAGAAAGCAACGCTAATATTGGAAGCCGTTGCGGATCAGGATTTATGGATATGGCATTCCTTCTTTGGTATTCCCGGATCTTGTAATGATCTTAATGTGTTGTACCGTTCACCAGTGTTCGATGAGGTTCTGCATGGTCGAGCTCCTCCGGTAAATTTTACGGTTAACGGCCATGAATATAACATGGCTTATTATTTAGCCGACGGCATTTATCCGAAGTGGGCAACTTTTGTTCAGGGTATCACATTCCCTCAACTGGCCAAAGATAAAATGTTCGCTGACCACCAGGCTGCCGCTCGAAAGGACGTTGAAAGAGCTTTCGGTGTGTTGCAAGCTCGATTTGCAATAATACGAAAACCGTCGCTGGCGTACGATGAGGACATACTGCGGGACATAATGAAAACATGTATCATTATGCACAACATGATTGTTGAAGATGAGCGCCACAACTACACTCGAGCCGAAGTTCTAAGAGCCTTCTACGAAGAAGATCAACAAGAATCAACACCAGCATCAACATCTACAACGCCACCGTTTGAATTCAACGTAGGCCGACCTACCAACTTTGATTTCAACGCATTTCTACAGCGAAAAGCTTCCCTCCGTGACAGAGAAATTCATCTATCTCTGAAACGTGATTTAGTCGAACATATTTGGCAACACTACGGGCCACGTAATTAGGGAGAAATTAGCACGACTTAAATAAAGCCAAGTACTATGGCGTAGCTACTTTTACTTGTTGTGTTTATTTTATTTCCTAAGTTTAATTACGCATGACGTTGCAAATGTAATTGGTTTCTAGTATTGTACCGCTTTTAAAATAAATAAAAACATTTAAGAAATTTTGAGCTTTTTTTAAATTTTTTTTTATATAACGTACTTAATTTTACGACAAATTTTAACGATAAAAAGGACAAAAATAAAAAAAATAAGTTACACAAATTTTAACTAGTTTTTATTTATTTGGAGTAACATTGTTAAAATATAAATGAAATAAAGAAGTAAAGAAGTGTTGTGTAGGAGAGAGAAAGTAATGGTGGGGTATTGAAAAAGTAAGAGAGAGAGAGTGGTGGGTGGGCAATTTTTTTGCTCACCATTGGGAGAGAATATGTGAAAAAAATTTGCCCATGAGCAAAACTTATTTCTTGAGAGAGAAAGTGGGTAGAGAGAGAGTGGGTGAGCATTTTTTTTGCTCACCATTGAGAGTGGTCTGAGTTGGTCCACTCTGAAAGTGGCATTGAAACTCAATTTGGTGATGACAGGCGGCACATGAGCTAATAAAATAATGTTAGCTAAGTGACTAAGCTTCAATATGGCTTTCCACTAGCAACTTACTATCCATTAAAGTTTTTGGTGCAAGCTCAGGTAAGGTGGACTATACGGCACTATGATGTTTAATAAAGAGAAGAAGCAGGCGACATTATAAATGGTGGTCTCTTAGCTTAAAACCGAGGTCGAGAGGTTGAGCAAGACATCCGACTGAGTTAATGTGGAGCATCCGGCCTAATCTTATGACGGCCTCTGTACATAAGATCATCCACCAAGGTAGCCCCGTGTGATCATAACAGGGAGGCGGCCCTTGAGTAAAAAACAAGTTCAAGTGACACTAGGCATAATACCTAGTGTATGTGATGACCTTGAAAAAAGAGCAAGAAAAGCATGCGGCCTTTTATGAACCAATTTACCCAAGTATACATTATACAATACACATAATACTATACAAATATCAGGCGGCAATATGGTGTAGTGAGCTCAATTCGAGTTTATGCAGCTCCATGCAAACAAGCGGCCTCATAAGCAGCTGGTCCTCAGCATCGTACCTCAAGCAAGCAAGCAAGAGGCAGCCAGCCAGGAACAGGCGGCACTTGCAAGCAATTGCGGCAAGCGTATGTATAACTTGGTTGAGCAAGTTTTAAACAACCGGTATGCTCCACAAGTAGGCTCAAGCAAAGTAACTCTTGAGTCCCGAAGTATAATGGGAAAACAATCATACTTGAAATTCAAGAATGATTGCGATAGTAGTAATATGGCACTCCAAGACAAGCGCCTCTAATACCAAGCAGTCGGCCTTGATTTACGATGGGCTATTTGATGATACGAGCAGCGGCAATTGTTAGTATAAAAGAAACCCCTCTGCTCAAACTATACATGCGGCATTCAGACATAAGGAAGGCGACTCTTGGATAAACAACAAGCATCAAGTGATGCTAGGCACAATACCGAGTGTAGTCTTGAACTTGAATTTGAAAACAAGCGGCTAAAAAAGCGGCCACTTAAACCGATCGTAAGTATGAGGTTGAGCATTGGCACCCATGCAAGAGTAGGCGGCACCTTGCCCCTCAAGAAAGCAATCGGCAGCCAAAACAGCCGGCTATCTGACTTGTTAAGTCCAACAACATACGTTCGACATCCTCATGTATGTTGTGGCTATGCGTACCAGCAAGTTGTCCAGCTAGGAGCTTTGAAACCTGCTGTGTATACAAGAGCATAATCCGGAACACATTCAGCTTTGTGTGGTTGTCATAGGCAGCCGCCTGTATCATGAACAACCACCAACCTTATCACCCAAAAAAGAGGCGCCCAAGAGAGACGGCCAGGTGAATCTTCGAACCTTGAAAGCAAGAACTTTAATGTCTCTTACTTCGAAAACAAAACAGGCGGCAATATGGTGTATGAGCCCAATCCGAGACTCCAAACAGTCGGCCTTACCTTGAGGCGACCCCTTGTGTAAGCTCAAGCTAAGTACGGAATTTCGGATCATGGGTGAGCAATCATCATGTGTGCTTATCAACAAGATGCCCCACTAGCAACATCACAACCGGCTACGATCATTGATAAATATGACAAGTGGCATCCTAAAGGGATAGCATATTCGAGGACAGTCGGCACATCACGGCCAACTAAATTATTAAGAGCAGCCGACAGTAACACAAGAAATTTGGGTAGAGGACGTATGTATGTATAGACGCCATGCTGAATAGAAAATTTTGAGGAAACAAACCAGCACCATGCGAGCCCCAAGTAGGCGACACCTAAAATTTTTCCCTCAAGAAAGCAGGCGGCATGGCGCATTGTCTTGAAAAGTTGAGCAAAGTATAGGCTACAAATGACAAAGCCCCCAACTAGCTCAATACGGTCGGCTCTATGTTTTCTCAATTTCAATCAATGAGAGCCGAGAGAAATAGTCAAGCTTTCTAATGAAAGAAGTGCAAATTGATATTCCAGAAGCATACAGCCATAATCACGCATACATAACTCAACTCTCACGGGCTACCGAGAGGAATAGCGCATGGTTCCTAGTAATATAATCGGCCATGAGACTGAATGCTTTAACTTGTTCATATGCTAGTCTCTTATTGTGAAAGTTGGGCATTGGCATCTCGCCCAAGGAAGCAGGCGGTAGCAGCACTTGGCCAGGTGGCAGCCGGCCTGAACTCAGCCACGCAGCAGCCAGGCGGCAGCCGGCCACATCCCAACCACTAACATCCGGCAAGCAGTGTACACAAGCAATGTGAGTGCTCGTGTTACGCATGGACTGCTACACAAGATGGTTATGTATGGCTTATTATGAAGAGGCCATTTGTGAGCTTCAAAACAGGCGGCCCTTACTGCTTATCCATCGTTAATGGCTGGTAATGAGCAAGAGCAACAAAACAATCGGACACCTTACATCAATCATGCAAAGATAAAGCTATCTTTATCATGGTTTTGTAATGCATGATAGTATATAATTTCTAATTAAAAAATTATTATATAAAATAATAGCAATAATATTTATAATAAAGCTAGTGAAATCGATCGTGAGTATGAGGCTGAGTATGAGCAGGCGGCCACTAGCTCGTACACATGACTGGATACGCAACTTAGTATGAATGCCTGGTCTTGAGAAGTTTGTAAATTTTTAAGAACAGGAAACCTTCATTACGCTCAGTTGGCTCAAAACAACCGGCCATTGAAACCGATTATAAGTAAGACCGAGCATGGGCATCTATGTTCGAGCATGAAATAACAGTCGGTCACCTCCATGCAATGCTAGTCGGCACACCTAGCAAAACCAGCCGGCCTAAGTATGGCAGAACTAGCGTAAGGCACCTTGATATGCCGAGAGTGGGGCTAGACGGCCGCCCGGATGCATATTTGTTGCCACAAGAGTTCTAATCATTATTATGATATTACCTAAGGTTATTAAACCCGGCAGCATATTCGACACCCTATTGAAGAGTAGCCGGCCCCCTATACAACGAAGTCTTATAGCTTGAGCACCAATTAAGATCTTCAATCATCATCATCGTTGTTAAAGTTCAAGCGGCACCCTGATCTGGTCGGCCGAGTGTTAATAGCTTGAGTACTCGACCACATGTATATGGGGCAAAGCAACCTCCTAAAATGACATGAGTATATACAAAGTAGGGCTGGATGGAAATAGACAGCAAGGTCACAAACCACATAAAAACAAATCTAGCATGACCACCTGTCCCCATTCGAAGAAAGTAGTCATCAATCAAAGAAGGAGGCGTCCCAACGTCATCCACCCTCCATGGAAGGGAACTAACTTATTCTCAGAGGGGCATGCCGCCTGTACCTTTACAGTCGGCTACTCTCCATTGAGTATTTTACTCTATCTTCAGAGGGGCATGCCGCCTGTACCTTTGCAGTCGGCTACTCTCCATTGAGTATTTTACTCTATCTTCATAGGGGCATGCCGCCTGTACCTCTACAGTCGGCTACTCTCCATTGAGTATTTCACTCTATCACCAGAGGGGTATACCGTCTGGACATACAATCGGCTACTCTCCATAGAAGATGGCCGACTGGTTCCAAAACAGACGGCCACCCTCCTATACTTAGCTTAAAAATGATCAGGGCCTGGCCGACCCTGTGCCTAAACAGGCGGCTACCCTCCTCTTACTTAGCACCTACGTTCACCAAGAACTAACCAAGGCCACAAGCTGAATGATCAGTCCAGGCGCCAAGCCAACTGATCCAATCTTTAAACTAATACGACCTGTCCCAACATCATAGCAGGTGATTAGGGGATTTTTATCCACCAATCACCGTCTGACAAGTGGACCAACCAGGTTCCGCCACGTGTCCGTCACGAAGGCCAATAGGAGCCTGCCACGTGTCAATCACAGATACGTCCTCTACGGACCAATTGAGACACGCCACGTGTCCACCCATGCCAAATGGGAAAACCGGCCAACAAGGCCCAATCCTGTCTAGAGGCCCGGTCAGCCCTAGGTTTACCCTAAACCTAGAGAGTGGCACGCTTCTCAAGGCTATAAATACTTAATTAATCCTCATTAATTAAGCAGAAAAGAAAACATCAAGAAATCAAGAGAAGAACAGAAACATTACGGAACTCTAATAACCGGCTAATCTCGCTAACGACGCAGATTACCAACATTAAACACTCTCACCTAGAGAGATCTTATTACTTTAATTTCCGTATTAATTACTCCTTAATCAGGTACTAACTTGACCGTTGGAGGCGGAGCTCTCAGGAGTCTCCGTTATTTTGCAGGTACAGGCGTCCGGTTCCAGTCTCGGAATTGTAACTCTCCCGCAGGACATCAGAAAACCCCGAAACATCTGGCGCCTTCTGTGGGGAGAGTACTTCAGAGATGGCATCCAAGTATGTACCGACTCCAGAAGAGAGGCGTCCCCTAGACGACCCTCAA